TGGGAGCCATTCCCTGTGTCCTGTCCCTCCATCCCTTGTCCCCAGTCCCTCTCCAGCTCTCCTGGAGCCCCTTCAGGCCCTGCAAGGGGCTCTGAGCTCTCCCTGGAGCTTCTCCTCTCCAGGGGAACATTCCCAGCTCTCCCAGCCTGGCTCCATCCCTGGAGCAGCTCCAGGGCCTCCTCTGGATCTCTCTGGATCTCTCCAGGTCCCTGTGCTGTTGGCCCTGGGGCAGCTCTGCAGGTGATTTTGAGGCAGAATATTCAAATGAATGAGTGGAAGGAGATGAAACCCCTTGTTTAAGAGTCACCAGCTGCTTCAAACTCTGTCCAGCAGCACTCTGCTCACGTTTCCCCCTCGAACAGCAGCGTGTGATAAAACCCACCGGAGGACTCCTGACCCCCAGCAGCCACCCCAGGAGCTGCCCAGAGCCCTCCCTGCCCTCAGCTGGGCCATCCCTGCTCAGAGCAGGCTCAGGTGCCGTGCTGGGGACGTGCTGGCCGTGGTGGTGTCCCCTGTGTGTTCCCTCTGGGATTAGGGGGGGTTACGTTGGCACTGCCCATTTGCTCCAGATTATCGGTTTAGCGAGCGCTGCCTTAAATTTGTTTATATAAAAACAATCCTTTGATCCACGAGCCAGATGCAAATACTATCTTGTGATTCTGATGAGGATTAGGTAGTTACAACATCTTGACATGGTTTTGGGTTTATGCAATTTAGAATATGAGGGGAGGAGCCCTGGCCCTGGGCAGGTTGCTGGGTGCTTTCACGCTGGGGCTTCAGCAAACCCAACTCAGATTGATTTGCTCCAAAGGCACTGACCTTCAGAGACTTAAAAATAACAACCTCTCGTGCTGGCTGGAGTTGGTGTGATTTGACCTGATTTTTCTGGAAGCTTGTCTTCCCAAAAATCTAAAACTGTAAAGGGAACCATTTTACTTGCTCTGCATCCTTCCCAAGGAGAGCCGTGGCATTTCTGATCCTTCTGCTCCTTTGGGAACCCACTTTGGAGGGGTTCAGCCACATTTGTGGTCTAGTCCTAGTTTAATGCATCAATAATGGTGGTGGCATCAGAGTCACAGAGTCACTGAGGCTGGAAAAGCCCTCCAGGATCCTCCAGGATCATCAAATCCACCCTGTGCCCGATCCCCACCCTGTCCCCAGCCCAGAGCCCTGAGTGCCTTCTCCAGGTGTTCCTGGGACACCTCCAGGGAAGGGATGAGCACTCCAAACCTCCCTGGGCAGCCCCTGCTAAGGCCTGAGCCCCCTTTCCATGGGGAAATTCCTGCTGATGTCCAGAACATCAGGAGCAGACTGAAACATCCCAGCAGCTCAAGGTGTAATCCCAGCCTGTGCAAGGTGTAAGGAGCAGCTCTGAGAGAAATGAAAGCAGGATGTGATCCTGGAGGGAATCTTGGGGCTGTCTTCTGCAGGGCCAGGAGCTGGACTTGGATAATCCTTGCGGGTTCCTTCCCACTCAGGAGATTCCATGGTTCTACAGGACTTAAGGAATTGTGGCTCCAGCCCCTGGGGGTTCAGCAGGAATGTCACTGCAGGGCCCTGGTACTCCCTGTGTGCCTTTGAGCTGTGACTCAGGGCTGTACAAACCACACTGACCCCGATTTCAGGGCATCCAGGGACTGCCAGGACCTCCCCCAGTTACTGCTCCACACCATTCCCCTGCTGCAGACACCAGCCCTTGTCCAGCCCCGCAGCTGGAGCTGGGTGTGGAACTGCTGAGGAGCAGCTCCAGGGACCCCTGTGCTATTCCCAGCTCCTCCAGGAGGATGTAGGGGTGTGTTTTTCTATAAACTGCCAAGCTGATGGGGAATTTTTGTGAAACACCAGGATGAACCATTGATGTGGCTGGGAAGACTTTTCCTTTTGCTGAGGGCTGGATTCAGCCCTGAGGGACCCTGTGGCTCCGTTATAAAACTGAGGCTCAGGGAGGGCCAGCAGCAGCTCCAGGTGACTGAGTGTGTGTCTCTTCAGGGGAAACCTTTATTATTTATAAAATGAACATTTCCTCACTGTCAGCAGAGCTGAGGGCCCAGGGAGGAGCTGCTGTCGGGGCTGGTGCTGCTTGTTCTGCTTCACCAGAACTGCTCAGGGTCATAAAGTCACAGAGTGCAGACCGGTTTGGGGTGGAGGGAACCTTAAGGATCATCCAGAGCCAGCCCTGCCATGGCAGGGACACTTTCCACTGTCCCAGGCTGCTCCAAACCCATCCAGCCTGGTCCTGGGCGCTGCCAGGGGGCAGCCACAGCTGCTCTGGGCACCTGAGCAACAACCTCATTGTATCCAACTTCTTTTATCTAACCTTAAATGAACCCCCCAACAGCTTCAAACTGTTCCCCCTTGTCCACTGCTGCAAATTTCAGTGTGTAAATCCTGGTGCTGGTTATAATTTTAGCTGTCAATGTCAGAGCAGGATGGACTCGATGTCACAGTGATCAAGATTTTCTGTGCTGGTTTTTGGAGTTGGTGATTTCCCACCCTGACCACCCTCCTCTAAATTTCCCCTGATGCCTGCTTTAGCAATTTGTGATGTTTCAGCAGGAATTTGCCCATGGAAAGGGGGCTCAGGCCTTGGAGGGGCTGCCCAGGGAGGTTTGGAGTGCCCATCCCTGGAGGTGCCCAAGGAACACCTGGCCATGGCACTCAGGGCTCTGAGCTGGGGACAAGGTGGGGATTGGGCACAGGGTGGATTTGATGATCCCAGAGGGCTTTTCCAACCTCAGTGATCCTGGGATTCTGTGAGTGTTCTCTCAAGGCTGGAATTGATAATTTCTTTAGTTTTAGGATCACCTGGGTGTCAAGGTGGGGATCAGTCAAAGCTAGGGCTCCGTCTTGGAGCTCTTTCCCCAACCTCAGTAATTCTGTTGTTTCACAATGTTGTTTTCAAGCTCTGGATTAAGATTCATTCCATCCATGTTAACCCTTCCTTTGATTTCTTGCAGATTCCTCAGCCTCTGGGCCGATGGTGGTGGAGAACGGCGACCACGGGCTGCAGGGTCACGGCACAGGTACGTCCTGTTTGTCCCTCAGCACCGGGGCCACATCCCTCTGCTCTGGAGTCCCCACTCCTCCCAGGGGGCTGGGGTGGCTTTAATGGGCTGTCAAAGAATTTCCAACAAAATAAGAGCTTCACTTCCTTGGGAGTTTAAAGAGCTTCTTTGGATAAAAGCTTGATCTGAAGATGTGCTGTTCTTTATCCATGGTCAGTGCCGGGAAGGCAGCTGATCAGAATGGATTTGTAGAGAGCCCATAACATCCAGAGGTGAGCTGTGCCCTGTCCTGTGACTCCCCCTGAGACCCACAGTGGTGTTTTCCCACGTCCCCCATGCTTTGGAGCAGTTTTTATTCACTGCCATGACCCAGCTGTGTCTTTCCACCCCAACCTCCCCTTCCGTGGACACGTCCCCACACCTGCCCCAGCAGTGACACAGGTGACACCGAGCCTTTGGAACCTTTTCCCATTGCATCAGGGTAGTTTTGACTGCCAGAAGTTTGGGATGGAACTGGATCAATATTTCAGACTTGTGCAGAACCTGGAAAAGAACTGACCTTTTTCCAGTCAGGCTGAAGTGCTGAGGCTGCTCCTCTCTGAGGCACAGTTCATAGTGAACACTGAGCCTTTCTGACTGGGAATTGGGGTTCCTACCAAATTCCAGCCCACCTGATCCCTTCTGCCATGAGGCCTTTGCCTGTGGCACCTCTCTTCTCTTGGGGATGGAACATTCCAGGGTCAGTTGTCACCCTGGCCTGGGTAAGGACTTCATTTGGTGTCCCTTGTGATGATTTCCAGGTCATGGCTGAGTTTGGGTGCCCCCAGGGTTATCCCTCCTAATCCACAGGTGCAGCCCAAGTTAAAAACCAGTTCAGGAAAACATTTGGGAGATGGGGATGAATTAAAACACCTCTTTGCTATATTTTTCTTTAGAATTTTAGAGTTTGGTTTAGTTTCATGTCCTTAGTGAGGATGGGAATAGGAAAATTGATCTTTGTGCTTCATTTGCCGTTGGAAATCCGGTCAAAAGGAAGTTGTGCATCTTTTATAATTCACTATAAACTGAAATTAAGAAAACTTCTGAACCTTCCTAAGGATATTTCCTCCTTCTTCTTTAATACTTACAGCTAAAAGAGCTAGAAATGCAATCAGATTTATGGTCTGAATAATTAAAGGCATCAGGAATTCTGTATTGAACTTCTGGCTTGTGTTTAAAAAATTCTTTGTGATTTGCCTCACTCGTGCTTTGTGGAGGTTTAACTCTTCACGCTAAATGTTAACAACTTTGATCAAAGATACTTTTATGTGTCTGGAGCTTTTTAATTTATTAATAAATTCTCTCTTTGTGGGGTAGAGTTGATTTTTTTTTTTCCCACTCTTGTTCAAATCTATCTAAAAGTGACATCAAAGTGGCAGAGCAGCGTGTCAGGATGAGTGGCCATCAAGTTAATGAGGTTTGCCAGAGTAACAGAAGATTTACATGACACAATTCCTTCATGGCCTCTTTCTCTACCCCCTTCCTTGTGGAATTCTTGCAATATCCGTGGTTCTCCACGGGAGAGAAGGGAGAAAAGCTGGATTTCCACCCACCTGCACCAGGGGATGGCCTTGAGCAGTGCCACGTTCAGGAGGTGCTGCTGCCTAAATCCCACATCCCTGGCCCTAAAGCACCTCCAGTTTGGGGGTTTTGTTTCCAGCAGGATCCATTCCCTGAAATGGATCCATTTCCATTTCCCATTTGAAAGCTGAGATGATTCTTAGGGATGTGGGATGTGAGCCCAGTGCAGAGAAATGGAGCAGCCAGGAGAGGACTGAGGAAGGTGATGCTCAGACAAAACAGCTTTTTGCTACAAAAACCAGTGTTAAAAACTACAGAGAGAGCTTTAAAAAGCAGAACTGGGCTTAAGTTGATTCTGAAACAGACTCCAAGGAACAGGGGTGGTTGAGCTATTTGCAAATCCACACGTGGATCTCTCCGGGCTGGAGCTCAGGAAGCACTGCTGGATGGTTTTCTTTACTCATCAGATGAAACAAGGTGATGATTGACCTTGTTTTATTACGTGCAGCATTGTCTGCAGCCACGTGGGCTTGGGATGGGTCAGGACCGAGCTCCTGGCACTCCTTGGCAGCGGTGCCCGCTCCCAGACACCCAGAGCGCGGCAGATGGCAGCGACCCAAACCTCTGCAGCTCGGGGCCAAACCCTCCATCAAGTGCTGAATTCTTTTCATCTGGCAGTGCTGTGTTCAAAGCACTGCTGCAGGGCTGTGTTTGGGCCAGGATTTCAGACAGGGAGACCCTGGCAGCTCCTGCGAGTCCTTGGCAGCGCTGAGCCCGACGTGAGCGCTGCTGTCTGGCCCTGTGGGGTTTGTTGTTGGGAATTTGAGAGCTGCAGAGGGGAGATCTGGCTTTGGGTGCTGGGCACATCCCATGGAAGGCTCGCTGTTAATCCTGTTCTTCCTTAAAAGGATAAATGGAGAGGCTGGAGCAGCGTTCCAGGGGAATTTGGTGCTGGTTTGCAATCCCTGCTGGGAGGAGGTGCTCACCTCCACGAGACAAAGGTTAGGGATTGCTTAGTCATACCAAGGTTTAGAACCAAAAATCAGTGTGTAATTTTCAATTTGCAACTCTTTTATTTAGGCAGGATATTTGCCTAGAGTTCAAAGGAAATATAAATTTTCAAATAAAACCCAATCAAATTTCTGGAAAGCAATCCATCCAGGACGATCTCGTGGTTGATCTGGATGCCTCTTGCCCAAGATGCTGGCAGGTGAGAAGTTCCCTAGGGAAATATCCCTGCTGGATGCTCACACTTCCCCTGGCTGGGCTTTTCCCTGCTGGGGGAGTTGTGTCGCCCAGGACTGGCAGGGATATTTTGTTTTCAGTGCAAACTGTGTGTGCTGAGGTGCTGCTCTCTGTGCCTGTCCCTGGTGGTGACCTGGCCAGCCCAGTGTGGCTCCTGTGGTGGCTGCTGGCACATCCCCAGCCAGCCCTGAGAGCACAACTCGTGTGTGTGTGTCTAACCTGGCTTCTGGCAAATCTCCTGGCTGCACTAATGAAGTGTTTGGTGTTGTGCAGTGCTGCCTCCATGGTGATGTTTACTAATGACTTGCGCTTTCTTGCCCCCTTCCCCACCCCCTTTCCCTCTCCTACTTCTTCTCCTCTCTTCTATTTTCTCCTCCTAGAAGCCTAGACTGTCTCCTAACACTGGGGCTGCCACTGACGCGAGACCAGTGTCCTTTTCTACCTGCCATTCCACTTGTAAAACCTGCAGCATTTTACAGAGCTCTTGCTTTACCTCCTTGGACTTGGCTGTAGAAGAAGCCAAAGGGTGGCTCCATCCTGCTCCTCCTCCCCGTGCTCTGCAGTGCTTGTTGAAACCTTCCTCTCTCTGTGTAAGCACCAAAGTGCGCCCTCCTTTTTCAACTGCGCTATGCCAATGGGTTTGAAATCACCACCTCAGCTCCATTTTTAGTTTGATCACCTTTAAATTTGGTTTCTCTCCGTTTTCATGGTGCTCCATAAGAGAAGGTTTGAAATTTCCATAAGTGGATGGGTCCACCATGACTGCAGCTCCCTTCCCCTTCTCCCCACGCTCACCACAGCCTTTTGGAGAACCTGCCTTCATCCTTGCTGCTTTGAAACCCTCTCACACCAGGTTCTGATCTGTAACAATGTTTGTTTTCTTCCAAACCCCTGGGCTGGGATCATTTTAGCACTTTGCAGACTCCAGAAGCAGATTAGGGAAAACCAGATTTCCTGAGGTACGGGTGGATCAGCTCTGGTGTCTGAGGGGTGGATTTTGGGGTCCAAGCACTTGCCATAACTGGGAGTGTGAAAGAAAACAGCCAGCCCCAAATTCCTGCCTTAGGGGGTGGCTTTGCTGTCATACTCCTTCCCAAAAACCTTAGAAGTAAGAAAGAAAATTGCCTTTTTTTTTTTTTTTTTAACTTCACACTTCTGGCTTCCTGTGGGGAATGACAGCCTTGGCTGGAATTTTACCTGCCATGAGAAATAATCTGTCCCTGCTAAAACCGAGGGGAACAAAAGGACTGAGTTGTGAAATTGTACTGAAATAATCCTGACAATTTCCAGCAGCACCAGAAGGAGCCAGGCCTGTTTTAACCTACAGGAGTCCGGAGGGATTCCCACGGCTCCACAGAGGTGCAGAGCTTCCCAAAGACAAAAGTGCTCATTTTCCCATCAACAGATGAAACAAAACATGAAAGGAGGAGATGATTAGAGGGACAATGCCGTATTTTACCTGAGACAGGCTCAGCTTTGGGAGGTGAGGGGCTGTTTTGGGCGAGGAGAATCGTGCTCCGGAGCTCAGGGTACTCGGCCTGCAACACCTGATGGAAAGGATTTAGCTGAACCCAAACGTAATCTGAGGCTGAACTACCCAAAACGAGCCTGCTGAGAGCTTCACTTGCCTAAAAATGGTGTTTTCCTGCTGTGAGGGGAGTGCTGGGCACCCACTGCAGCCCTGCTGTGCTCGGCGTTCTCAGGATATCACGCCCGTGCTGTGCCAGGGCCACCAGGGCTGTGCCAGGGCCACGCCAGGGCCACCAAGGCTGTGCCAGGGCCACCAGGGCTGTGCCAGGGCCACCAGGACTGTGCCAGGGCCACGCCAGGGCCACCAGGGCTGTGCCAGGGCCACCAGGGCTGTGCCAGGGCCACCAGGGCTGTGCCAGGGCCACGCCAGGGCCACCAGGGCTGTGCCAGGGCCACCAGGGCCGTGCCAGGGCCACACCAGGGCTGTGCCAGGGCCACCAGGACTGTGCCAGGGCCATGCCAGGGCCACCAGGGCCACGCCAGGGCCACTTTGGGCACGTCCCCAGCAGCTCAGCCCAGCCTGCTTTTGTTGTTTGTTCGCTGTGAGAGCTCCCTGCTCCAGGCCAGTCCTGGACCTGGCGCTTCTCTCCCCAGTTTGGTGCCCGTTTAACCCCTTGTGCCCCGCTCGAGGCTTCCTTAGGAGCTGGTGTCCCTGTGGTGCCACTTCCAAAGCCTGGTGGCTT